ACACAAAAAAATATCCTCGCGGAATCAATCATAAAATGTTTTGATGATCATCTAGATTCATATTGATTCATCTAAATTCATATGATATATTTTTAATCGTATTTTTTGTTTAAGAAAATCATTAATGTTTCATTTCACTCACCCGTTCTATTTTAATCAATTTTCGCTTAATTATAATTTTCTTTTTTATTATTTCTTTAATATATTTAAAAGATTAGTTTACTAGATTATATAAAAAAAATTTTTGAAAAAAATTGCAATTTATTTCAATCGTAAAGAAAATAATAAAGATCACTTTTTTATAATGTTTTTTATTTGATCCTATAATGAAAATTATGTTCAAAAAACATATTTTGTAAATTTGTATTTGATATACATTAAATAGATATATGTTAAAAATTTCATCAAAATTAATTAATTGATGATGATATGAACTAGAAATAATTAAAATGAAAATTGCTGTTTTTTATGATTTTCAATTTAAAATCTAAAAATTTTTATTAATTTTTTTCGACTTTTGTTTGTTATTTCTATATCAATCGATTTCAATGAAATTTTCAGCTAGATAAATAACTCATAAATTTTCAAGATTTATTTTTTACATCTTTGTTAAAGATTCAAATAAAAAAATTATAAAATGTGATTGCAATTTTTTCAAGATTCTTTTTTTTTGTATATTACTTAGTAAATTAATTCTAATTTATAAAATAACTTAAAATATTAAGTTTAATTTTAAAAAAATTATCACATTTTAAAGATATGTCAATATTTTTTGGAATTACTGTACATATATTCTGAAGTTCATTCTTTCTACAATTCTTTAATTCGTACACACATCTTGTCGGGATTAAATCTAAGGAAGAATATTAAACGGAAGAATTGTGTTTACGAATAATCGTGAAGAAATTTTCAATTTTCTAATTGAGAAATCACATTTATAAGCAATAACTGGAAACGTATTCGGTCAGTACATTAACTCGAAAGAAAGATGCTCAAACTTTATAGAAGAATAATGAAAATGATGAAGAAAAAATAGTGTTCTTCTATCGAGAAGTAAAAAGTAGATTTTGATTGTTGATATTTCAGATTATGTAAATTATTTTCTTAAGATTCGTACATTGGTAACGATATGGAACATATAATGATAAAACATATAGAACTGAAATACAGGAAAAAGATCCTTGTTGTCGAATGTTTCAACAAAATAATAAAATGGAATTTTTTCTTTTTTTTTCTCTTCCTTTTCTCATTTTTTCACTCTTTATCATTTCATTGATTTTTCTCTAATTTTCCTTTTTATTGTTTCTTCCTTATTTTTTTCCTTTTCTTGTCTATCAAACTTTGTTTTATCAGATATTTTTTTAGAATCTAATTTATTTCACAATTTTTATTTTTTGAATAAATTTGGAAAATTTTTTAAGATAATTCAAAGAATGACCATTAATTCTTTTTTTTAAATTTTAAAAATCGTTAATTTTTTTTTTGAAATTTTTTAAAGGGAAATTTTTTTATGAGGAAAATTTTTGTTGAAAATTGATACTATGAAATAAAGGAAAATTTTGAATGAAGAAAATTTTTTAAGATAATTCAAAGAATGACCATTAATTCTTTTTTTTAAATTTTAAAAATCGTTAATTTTTTTTTGAAATTTTTTAGAGGGAAATTTTTTCATGAGGAAAATTTTTGTTGAAAATTGATACTATGAAATAAACAAAAATTATTTATATCATATTTATATTTTAAAAACTTTTATATTATTTTTTTAGAAAAATAATTTGTTTCAAGAATATTTAATTTGTACATTGTCAAAAAGATTTGAATCTCAAAGGGATTATCTAAAGTAATTTTCCAACTGATGTATTGCGAAAATTTTATTAAAATTTTAATAAATTTAATATTTATTAATATAAATAACATTAAGAAATGAATTTAACAATAAAATATTAGCAATATAATTAATTATTACATAGTTAATATTTTCATACTTATAATATTAGTGATATATTTTTCAGTATTTTTTCTTGAATAAATAATAAACTACAATAATTATGTTATCATATCAAATAAATAAAAATTTCATTTTTTTTTCAAACATGATACATATAAAAATGATATAATAATACTAATTTGTATTATTTTTACAAACTTTAAAATTTAAATGAAACATGAAATAATATAAATAATATAATAATATAAAATATTTTAATAATATAAATAATATAATAATATAAAATATTTTAATAATATAAATAATATAAAATATTTTAAAATGATCAGAAAATAGATTTTCTTTAGTTGAATTTCATTTTATTCACAATTTAAATTATATTTTTTTCTAAATTTCTGTTTTTAAATTATATTTTTATATAAATATGAAAGAAATTTTATAATAATGATGGGTTTTATAATAATAATAATCTCTAAACGGAGATTTCGAAAAAGATTGTCTTAATTTATATTATAAATTTTTAAAATGAATCGAGTTAATAAAAAAAATTCATTTTTTATATATATTTTATTATATATTTATATATGATTAATAAATTTATATGTTAATATTTGTATATTAAATATATTCAATAAAAAATTTAAAAATAGTCAAATTATTTTTTTATTCAAATCTTATTCTCTTTGAAAATAAATTGTGCAGAAAATTTTATCGAAATTAGTTAACGCATAAAAAAATTACATCGAAAGATATACACATTTTTAGATTTATTATAATTATAAAAAATTATGAAAAATTGCGAATTTGAGCATTTGTTTTTCGTTTATAATTCAGAATGTTATAATTATAATATAAAATATTTTTTTATTTTATTAATATTTTATAATTTTTAATTATTTTTAGATTTTTTTATAAATGTTTTTTTTCATTTACTATTATAACATTTACTATTAATTCCATAAATATTAATAAATAAAAAATTATAATAAATATTAATTAATCGATAAATACGTAATATTTATGATATTACGTATTAATTGATAATACGTAAGATAAATATTAATGTTTAAATTTATATAATGTTTTAAATTTTAATTATAAAAAATAAATAATAAATAATAATTTTTTAATTATCATAAATTAGAGAATTATTTTCAATCTTGCTTTCTTCTATATTATAAAGCTAATTGCAAGTCCAGTAAATACATTTAATTCTTTTAGTATAAAATATTTAAAATGATAAGATATGAACAAAAATTGTATTTAGAAATATATTATTCTTTTCTATTGTCTTATAAAAACTACAAACAAATAATAAGAAAAATCACAAAAGAATCAGGAACAATGTAGTCACTAATTAAATCTAAAATAATAAATTTTTTTGTAAAAGAGACAGTTATAGATCAATTACAAAGATTTACGTGCGATATATTATTTTGCTTAAATAATTTTATAGATTTCATTGAATACAAATTGGTTCATAGATCATAACATTCATAACAATAGAATATTTTTAATATATTCTGATATTTTTGATATTCTTTTATATATTCATAGATTGAAAAAATTGATTTTGTATAATACATTCATAGTTTCAAAAAATGAACAAATGAATTCATAAAAATAAAATTTGAATTTTTATGTTTATTTACGAATTTGTAAAATTCAAAATATATTTAAAATTAATTAATAATAATGTTTACAATTTAGAAAATAATAAAATATTAAGTATCTATATAATTATATAATAAATAAGATAAAGAAAAATTTATCGATAATTACTTATTCTAATATATGTTTATATTATGTTATCAAGTAATATATATATATCAAGAATTCTTTATAACTTAATTGGCGATTTTTTACCATTTTTTAGATATTTAAAAAAATATATATATAAACAGCTGTAATCATTATGTCCTTGATATATTAAGGATATCATTCTGAGAACTTTACTTTAACTCAATTACGTACAATCGAAATATTTTAGAATATTTATATATTTATATATTAATATATAATATTTATAATTATTTTAAAATATAGTAATAGTAACTATTTTTTAAAAAATATTGAATTTATATTATATTGATGTATTGTGATGATCAGTCACTTAAATGTTTATACATAAATATAAACACATCACAACAAAATATATAAGAGATATAAATATAACAGATGAATTAATATCATGGCATTTATCTATTCATAACAAATTTGTGTTTTCAAATATAAAGTAAACTTTAAATAATCAAAGTTACAATGATAGCAATATTAGTATAATCTTTATAGCATTATTTTTTATATATTTAATATTTATTATTTTAATTTGTAATTCATTATAATTTTAGTTTCTCAAAGTTCTTCTTGTTTTATATTATATTTGAATTGTGGAATTCCAAAATTCTCTATGAGTTATAGTTGAGACATTTCAAACTCATTATAATTCATACGGAAATAGTTCTTTGACTATTTCACTCGTTATATTTTGAACACTAGCTAGTATAATATATTTTAATATATTTAATATAATATAATATATTAATTAATATAATATATTTACTATAATATATTTAGTAGAGTATAAGTGACGGTCACATACTGATTAATATAATATAATGGATGCACGCGAAATTCATTTTTTATATATGTCGAAAACTGTAAGAAACTGCTGATTAAATTATAAGGAAAAATTACTTAAGATGATAACATATGTTTTTGACATATATCAAGATCAAGTATCATCGACAAAATGTCCGATTAAAATTAATAATTATAAATTTATCTTTATGTCGTATTTTGTATTTATGATAATTTCGAAAATAATCTATTCCAATGTCTTTAATAAAATATTTTTTATAACATCTTAGTTTTTGATATGCTTTGTTGAAATATTTAATTGTAGAAAAAATTTCATTATCGTAGAAGTTCTTTAAAATAAAAAATTTCTAAGAAAAATTTAAAAATGAAATTTTTTATGTTAATTTTAAATGATACATTTATATTTAAATATTTTGATTGCTATTAAAAATAATGTTTTAAATAATCATACCTGCGAAAAAGAGGAGGCTCATGTACGAGCAGATGAAAATCGTTTTCCGAGCAGATCTCACGGTCACGATGGTGAACCGCGCATTTGAAACTCCTTGTTCGTTTGCCACTCATCTATAACAGAATAATTTTTTTTTTTCTCTTTAAAATTGAAATTTTATTTTTTTAAAATAAACATTTACTATTTTTTAATCTATTACTATTTTATTTTAATATTGTTATTATAAAAATATTATTATTAATTATTATTTAATCTATAAATTATTTTATCTATAAATAGTTTATCAATTTTTATTTTAATGTAAAATCTGAAAATTTTTTATGAATAAGTATTTTATAAATAAATTATTATATTATTATAATATTATTATTATAACAATTATTATATTATTATTATTATAACAATAATATTATTATTAATATTACAATGAATGTATACAAGTAATGCAATATTTAAATAAATTTTTTTCTATAGAAAGTATTTAATAAATATGTAAATAATATAATGTACTAAATATATATACGTGTGTATGCGCGTATGTATTAGATAATATTTAAAATATTATAATTATTATATAATATATTACATTATAATACATTATAATACATATTATAATATATTTATATAAGATTAAATTTCATTTTATTAATATAGATTAATTTTAGATTTTTATATTGATGAATTATTTAAGGTTAAAATCACAATTAAATAATAAAAGTTATTAATGGCTTTTTAGTATATTATTAAGTAAGTTATTAGTACATTTATAAATATTTTATAAAAAATTAATGTATGTCATCAACTATTTCCACAATTGAATAAAAATATTGAATAAATACAAATAACTTTATTTTTAAACGTATAATTAATAAGCATTACAATAACATTATAGAATATAATAAATAATGTTATGATATACTTTAATCTTATATTTTAATAATTGTATAAATTGATGTATGTGCAAATACAAATATACTTGTGTTGATTAACATTGTCAATGTTCAATAACTTCATAATATTGCATATATAACCTACTTACTCTAGTCCTGTCAAATTCTGTTGCGAAGCATAGACACTCTGTGACAAAACGAAAATGTATCGATATTTCGAAAGGCAATTGTTTTAAAACACTTATAGGATTGCACAAATAATAAAATTTAAGTAATTTTTTTTCTCATTTTTTTCATCACAGAATAAATTATGAAAAAAGATTTAAAGAAAAATATTTTAAAATATTTTTCAAATAAGATTCAAGGAATTTATTTTATATTAAACATATCTTAGAATTATCTTAGAACATTTTTATTTTATATATATATTTTTTATATTGTTTAGATTAATTATTAATTATTTAATTTTTTTATTTATTTTTATTTCAAATAAAAAATATTATTCTTTATTATTTAGAATAATAAGAATGAGAAAAGAGAGTAAGAATAAAAAATATATTTTCATGAAAAAAATTTTAAGAATAATAAAATACATTTTTTTTTATATTGCTCAAAATATATCAAAATTTTCTTTAGGATAGATTTATGGCAATGATATACGATATTATAATAATAAATTAAAAAATATTATATTATATTACAATACTATAATAATATAATAAAGAAAAAATAAATTGAATTTAATTTTAAAAAGAGAATATATAATATATTATTATATAATATATTATTTAATATATAATATTATTTTTAATAGGTTTTTCTAACATTAGAAGAAGAATCCTACAATTTTTATAAAGTTATTTTAAGACATGTTTTATTAATATTGAATGTTATTTTGTTAGTTTCGATTAATTTCATAATGATAGGATTTTGTATTACTTGATTTTGTATTAGAATAGTATTATTTATATAATTGCAAAAATAATTATTGAAAAGAAAAAGTTTCTTTTCAATATTTTATTATATATATAATATGAAAATAGATATTTGAAGTGTAATAACAAATCTTTTCAAAAACTTGGCCTTTTTAATATTTTTTTCAGAATGAATCAGAAAAATATGCATATCATTGTAACATATGTTTTTTGAATATTATAAATATTCAAGATAGATTTATTTAATTTATATTGATTTTAATTATAATATTGAAATAAAATATTATTGAATAAAATAATATTGAATAAAAATATGTAGTCCCACTTAAAAAAAAAAAACTCTGATAATCTTGGAATTTAAAAAAAAATGAGAAAGAGAGAAAAAATTTACTTTCTGTATAATATTCGTGTCTTAATCAAACAATGTTTTCTTCGACATTTCTTCTTTGATATTTTTTTTTATTAAAATAAACGAGATAATTAGGATATTTACGAAAAAAATTCTTTAAATTTAAATTTAAATTAAATGGAATATTTTATACAAAAATGTTTAATTTCTCAAAGACAAATTTTTAAATGTCCGCCATTTTCTACAAAAAATACTTTTTTCTATTTTGAGAAATAAAGACTTGATAAAAAATCAATAGTACAAAAAATAATTGCAGTTCTTGACACAATTCAACGAAGGAAGCTTGACTCTATTGGCTGTCGAATCGCGATGTCTAATATTTGGATCAGGATCCGTTAACGCGGTTAGACAAATCCAAGCAAAGAACGCTAGCAAACTCTTGAGTTAACTCGTAACTTGAGTTAAGTCATATACATACAGCAGCTTTGTATCACGAGGCACAGACAAATATCCACAACACGAGTACCATCTTACGCGTGCAATTTGTATTAATGTAGAAAGAAGAAAGTGTGTGTATATTGTATACAGTAGCGTAAGAGCTTTCTATTGCCTACATCGGCCGTAGAATCGCTTATTATCGACAGATGTGCACATCAGTCATTATAAATATGATCAATGATTTTGACAATAGCAAGAATAAATTAAATAGTAATTTATAAAATGAAAAAATGGATAAAAAAGTAAAATTTATTGATTTTCTTTTTTTTTTATTAAAATAATTTAAATTTCGAATGAAGCGATTATTTTGCAATATGAATTACAAATTACAATGAATTGTGAAATGTAATTTCCATTAATTGTTAGATAATTTTTTAGATGTAAATCATTATATTTTTAGTATGTAATATTTAGTATATAATAATATACTATATAATATATTAAATATAATAATATATAATTATTATTTATATATAATATATAATATTTATATATAATATTTAGTATATTAATTAGATTAATTCTAGATTAATTAAAATTAAATTATCACAAAAAAAAGTTTAAAAATTATAATAATATATTTGTAATAAATATAATTATAATAAATAGTTTACGAAATTATGAATGAAAATTACAATGATGTTAATTTTATACATTAGATAATCTATTGTTATATTTCGTAATAAATAATTCCTTATATTTTTTGCAATAAAAATTCAGTATATGACAAGAATGAAATCAGTTGACTAAATGAATGATAATTTTAATCTATATCATGGTATGAATAGCTCATTATAAGAAAAAATTATGAAAAAAATTCTTAAAATTCAAATTTAAATAAAAAAAATTAAAAAATAAATATAATAATTTTTTTATTATATATAGTTTATATTATATATTAGTTTAAGAATTTATATATTTAAATTTTTATATATAATTATTTTCTCATCAGTTAAAATTGAGAAATATATTTATAAATATCTTATTATAAATAATTATAATAATAATTTATAAATATCTTATTATAAATATATTATATTAAACTATTATTTTATTCACAATTTATTAAATTTTTAGTTCTGAATAAAAATGTTAATTAATCTGATTTTATGTTAATAATAGAAATTATAAACGCTATTTAAATAATGAAATTAATTTATCTTAAAAAATATTAAAAGATATTTAAAAGAAATTTAAAAAGTTCATGATCAATCAAAAAAAGAGTGAGACAGTTTAAAATATTAATAAAAATAGAAAAATATAAATAAGAATATTTTAGAATATTAATAATTCTTGATATACAGAAATAATTTCGAAATGATTATTAGCAAAAAACTTTGCCCATAGAATACGTAGACTTATTGATTAACCATTTATTTATTGGTCAATGTTTTTTTGTTAATAACGTAACAAAGTTGAAATGAAGATTTCACAATGAAAAAAATTATTTGAAATCAATTCCTTGAATCATCAATTGAGCCTTTGACTGACTTCTGTATGTAATAATAACCTGTATATATTATATTATGTAATAAAAATAAAAATTTTAATTAATTAAAAAATATCAATCAAAATATCATTTTTAAATTACGAAATATTAATGAAACGAAAATAATACTAAAACCAGTAATTGAAGTAAATATTATAAATAGTATTAAAAATAAAAGGAAATTTTCACTAGATATACTTTCATTAGATATTATTCATTAGATACTTTCATAGATACATTCATTAGATAATATTCGGTATTTATTACAAAATCACAGTGTAAAGCATTAACTTTTTTAAAACGAAAAATTCAATTAATTAATAATATTAATGTAAGAAAGTTATTTTCTTGAAATTAAATTACTATTATATATTATATAATAAAAAAAAAAGAAAATAAATTAAAATCTTGTACATATTAAATTTGATCATAATTTCATAAATTTTTTTAAAAGTATAGTAAAAAATATAGTAAAAAAATATAGTAAAAAAACATAGTTTTAAAAACATGGAAAAAAATTTACTTTTCAAATTCATTTAAAGTTAATGAAATTTAAAGTATATATTTATAATATATTATTATAATAATTTATAATTGTTCGAAATAAATATTGATATAAAAATAAATTTAAAGTTAGTACCAAAGAAATAAAAGTTAATACATTTTGAAAGAATCTCAAAAATAAAAAAAATGAATTACGAGTATGTTTTTCTAAAATTATCCAATTTTATTCCATTATATTTCATTTTATTGGTAAAAATTAACTAACAAGTTTCATAATGGTAAAGAGCAAATTTCAAATTACAAATACAAATTCTTTTCAAATTATAAATATAAGAATGTATTTGTTTTAACCTTTCGAAAAGTAATTTTTAAAATCCTTATTTTTTTTTATTATTTTTAGTATTTAATGATATTTATAAAACAGAAATCACGAGAAGTCTCGATGAAT